TCGGTGAATTTAAAATTGTCTAAAAAATTGAGTGCTCACTGTTAAAAATATATTACACCGTATACAATATTATATTATCATAAACAGTACTGTTATATCATATGTTTTAATTGGATGGAATAGAAATATGAATCCGATAGATCACATTCACGTCATATTGTAATTATGCATTATAATGTGTATGAAACCGTGGTTATATATACATATGTGTGTGTGTGATTAACACCACAAAATGGTGTACACATAATAATAGATCGGCAACTTGTGTCGATAGTATGATAACGAATCGGTTTATTATCATTATTATTATTGTTATATGTATATCCAAAGGGATCTGTCTTTGACTTGTATATATTACTGTTGTACGCGCGGAGCTTCCGGTGTTCCGCCTGGTCTACGGTGGATATAAATAATAGTATATTAATTGGATTTCATCGTTATTGGGGTGTGTTCGCAGGCGGACTTGGTGCAAATGATCGTCGTGCCGGACCCAACAGCCGTTTCAGACCAGTGCACTGTGTTTCGGATMGCCGTACTGGACACGGAGATTGTCAAAACCAAAATAAGGTCAGTATGATATAATATCGTATAATGATATAATGATATAGTGAATGGTCGAAATAAATTCAACGCTATATTTATGTATTCATTAAAATCTGCAGTGAAACCGCCCCTCTCTCTCCCCGCTGCCATTATAAAAGCAATTCATATATATTTTAATAAGACTTATTTGTTTTCCAATCGTTTAAATAGGTATATAATATTATAAACGACATTGTGGGACTGGCCGATCAGCCAATGGATTTTGGTTGAACAAAGCGTATTTTTTTTCTCGAAAAAAAAAATATGCCCCTCAATTAAATTTATTCTTTACAGCTTCAATGGTCGGAAAGAATAAACCAATTACGTTCCAGACGTCTATTATAAAATATTGTTTAGGTACTTATTAATTTGGTGACTTGCATAAAAGAAATTGAAAAAATAATATGTTCACTTTTGAAATTATTATTCGCTGGAGTTTCTTGGTTTTTAAACGGTAACTTATCTTGAAAAACATTCATATYTCGTGTTTTACCGAGGTAGTTATTAAAGTAAATTTGATCAACAATATTAGGTACCTACATATCGTTTGATTTATTTTCTACATTGTCAAAACAATGTTTGCTACTAGTGTAGTCGAAATTATTGTTTGACTTATAGATTTCAAAAATTTTTATTTCTTTACTCATGTTTTAATAGTACTCATAATTCCATTGTTATGCATAAAAACAGTGTAAAGCACAACTGATCTRATATACCTGACTTGAAAAATTGTTCGTTGTTGACCCAATTTCAATTATTATGCATGTGTTAGAATGGAACCGTTCAAATCAGTCGCTATACATGCAAATTCTTGAGAGTTGAGTTCCACATGGTCAGACTGGCAGAATGGGCTTATTATGGCTTTGTAGATACCTACTAAATTTGCAGGWAGTTGATCATTTGGATCGGATGAGAGGATACAACAGTGGAAGTCTGGAATTAGCTGATTTGTGTTAAAAGTTCAACCGAAAAGGCTAGGTCTATCACATGTCAAACATTAGGCTTATTATAGCTATGTATTTTACATATARTATTATAAAAATTATGTTATAGTTTGGTGTTACTGTTATTATGACTCATGCAATTTTTTTTAYTTAWAACCRATTAATAAGTAATGAGAAAATTCAATGGCACTATAAATCAAACAGAATTTATGATATAATATAGGTATGTGCATTTCTATCTGATAAATCTGTTAGTCACATTCAAAACAATTGATTTAGTTTATTATGCATGAGGGCATAACAATCAAATTGCCATTCTAAAAAACCTTATTGTTTTCGTTAATGGAATAGTAGTACGCCTACATATTATTATTATAATATTATAGTTATTATTCATTATTATTTTATTAAACCATTTCAAATTTGTTAATAATCCATTCGAATACACCTTGAATTTATTAGTTCATATTGTATTTTAAAATTCAATCTTATGGTTATCGATTTCGTAACTGTATAACTACTCATCCCGACCGTCTTAGGTGAAGTGGATAATTTTCTCTAAATTTTTAATCATGTTTTAAACAATGTTCTGTTCTTTTCGTACGCGGTAGTTGTATGTAATAAAGTATACTGAAAATTTCAACCGGAAGTACCATGCAATCCCTCAGAGAAAATACCGGATAACGTTTGGACGTGATGCGAGACTAGAAGTATCTAACTAAAAAGTTTTTCTTTATTTTTAACAAGAATTTCATTTCAAGAATAATCATGAAAAAAGAGAAGGAATATAAGTAATTCGATTTATTTCTTATAATATGTAATATTATTGTCTGCGTACSAGCAAATTACCAAGTTTTTAAGTAAATTCATCATTAAATCTGTACCTAGTAAATGAAGTTAAGATTTTAATATTATGCATACAGTGCACTGTGCTTATAAGTATTATTATAGCTTCAGATTATGGCGTTTTATTCAATACCGTCAGTTGTTATTAGTTGTTATTATATTTTGTAGAGCACATATGATAAACGTTAAAATCATCTTTAAATCGTCAATGATTGTATTATCTCGCTATTAAATCCAACACACGACAAATAAACTACGATTATTCGATTAGCCGTAAAATACAGAAGTTTAATTGGACTAGAGGTTCAAACAGACACCATAGATGTAAAACTTTTGACAGTTTCCAATTGAAAGTTTAAGGTGTCAAAATGGCCAAAGGGTAAACTCGTATAACATTTCTCAGAGAGTAGTAATCGGATAACGAGAAAATTTTAGGTAAAAATGTCAAGAATTTCAATTAATTAAAAGTTGAATATTGTTAAACTTGATACTCAACTTAATTGTATTTGAGACTCTTTCTTACTATACACTATAAGACTTAAAGCGTTTTAAGAAATATTAATTTATCTGAGTAAAATAAATAATAAAGATAAGTACCTATAATACCTAAAATGTATAGTTATAAATATTTAAGAAACGTGTAMATTTACAATTATTATTATCAAAAATGAACAAAAAAAGAAGACGCTGAAATCAAATTTACCTTAGGGGTAGATGTTTTTAATTTTAAAAACGATGAAAAATCACTATATTTGATAAATCACTAAGCCTAATCT